ATCTAAGGGTGGCGTTTCTTCGGATAGATTCATTAAGTTATCGATATTGCTTATTGCTTCCATTATTTATTTAATTATAGCAATATCACTTCGCCCGATTGGGATTGATCTAGATCGGCCTTACATCCTGTTTAACCCATCGTTTGTTAATCTAAATTGATCTAATTTGCACTTTAAACGATCAGTTATGTTTTATTGGTTGTTTTATGTCAATCTTGATCATGCATAGTGTGCGGTTAAGGCGTGTCTAATCTTGAGTAGATCTATTGGCTAGCGAAAACCGTTCCATGGCCCGTTATCATGGCCTGTGTGATTCAGCCTCACACCCCACTATTAGCACCGTGGAGTGGGGATTGTTATTTGGTAGATTTGTTCTTAATAGGGCATGACCTTAACTGTGCGTTATGCCTGAATAGGCTGTTTTAGCCGATATCGAGTGCTTTCACGAATAGTTTACGTTACGAGACCGTTGAAGTAAAGATAGGTTGAAAGATGTGTTAGCCCCATGATCTTATTATTGTATTACAGCCTACATGATTCTACCTCATGCCCCACTGGTATTAGTAATAAATTAGGGTCATCGAATCTATTGTTGTTTCTACGGCCTGCATAATTCTGCCTCATGCCCCACTGGTCATAGCGATAGATAAGATCTAATATGTTCATTAGATTTATCTTTATTAAATGGTTGAATGATGATGAGCTGTTTCTTTCATATAAAAGGGATTCGGTTACTTGCAGTCATTGGCTTAGCATAAACTAATTATTGTTGAGATCTTATTGCCATTGACTAATGTTTGTCTAAATAACGAGATCTATCCTGAGCGATAACCGATTTAACTTTCATGAGCTTTAATTGATTTATCCTTATGAGTATGCTGGAATCAACTATTTAGTCGATTTCCTTCCATATCGGCTCTCAGAGCCGCACATTCGGGACTGTCTGGCAACACCGGCATGTTCCGCCTTAAATTACTGATTAGCTTTCTCTCCTTGTTAATTGCAGGGTCAAATTGACTGGCATGTCTCGGGAGGAGTGCGTAGGATCGACCATCCCTGCGCTAAAGCTAGGCGGATCTCCAACTCCATCGAGCGGACCCTTCCGGCTTGCTCGTGTGCCCTCGGCATGGGACAAAATTTTGTGCCGACAGGTTTACTTCTCCTTCAATAGTATAAGTTATAAATATATGTCCATGCTAGACCTTCCCTATGGTAAAAATATAAATAACGATACCTGAAATACTCTTAGGTGAAGTGCTACAATGGTACATTATCTGTGCGCTTGCATATCCTTTTTCATTCATATCTATATATTTTTTCAAGTCACATAAGATGATAAAGAACTACTTAGTGTCATTCTAGTAGTGCTGCTAGGCAGCACCAACAAGCATCTCTGGTACCATCACTAGCGATGACAACCTAGTAAAGTAATGTTAGGAGATGTAGGTAATTAATAGGTGGCTATTAAAACAAGTGACAAGTTGATAAATACCAACAGACATCCCCAAACAATAGAGCCATTGGCTCACTGATTGGGCTGTCTGCGCACCGACCGGACGTGTAAGGTCGCTACATTTGGTCGCTGTCGTGAAGCCACGTGTCCTCTTCAAATGAGTTAGCCTTTGGCGCCCCAACGGCTCTCTCTGTCACACTCTGACACAACTGATCAGACGCACGTTAGGAAGTGATCGAACGCAGGAGAGGGAGCATTAGGTCGATTCCAGAGAGCTCCCAGAGCTACTTGGACACGTCTGGTTTCACCAAACTAGACGCACATAGCATCAGATCAATTATAGCGCAAGAAACCGAGGCTCACTAGTTCACACGGACGCGTCCGGTCGCTCCTGATTCTCTTCTTCGAGCCACATCATCTTGACCTGACGCATGAACATTGAACTGTCAGCGTCCGGTCACACAATTGAGTTAGAGTCCGGTCACTTTCTTTCTCAGCTGCTCACGTCGGGCAAAATACCGGACGCGTCTGGTCCCAATACCAGACATGTCTGGTCACCTCTTCAGCACTTGCCCGAGCTAGGGTAACATGCCGGACGCGTCCGGTCCCAATACCGGACGCGTCCGTTCACTCTGTGACCAACGCGATCAACTCCTTTTCAACTCCAACTTCTCCACCCTTGGTCAAATATGCTAACCACCAAGTGTATCACCTTGTGCACGTGTGTTAGCACATTTTCACAAACATTTTCAAGGGTGTTAGCTCTCCACTATATCCTAAATGCACATGCAATGAGTTAGAACATCTAGTGGCACTTTAATAACCGCATTTCGATACGAGTTTCACCCCTCTTAAAGTATGGCTATCGATCCTAAATGTGATTACACTCGCTAAGCGTCTCGATCAATAAACCAAAAAACTCCTATGGTTTTACTTTGCCTTGAGCTTTTTGTTTTTCTCTTTCTTCTTTTCCAAGTCCAAGAACTTGATCATCACCATGGTCACACCATCATCATGATCATCACCATTTGCTTCACCACTTGGAATCACCTATCTAATAATCACTTTGATAAACTAGGTTAGCACTTAGGGTTTCATCAATTCACCAAAACCAAACTAGAGCTTTCACTGGTGCCATCAACTCAATGAAGTAGCTTTCAACTCGCTCGGATCAAACCATAGCTCCACTTATCAAGAACAACCATATATAAGCAAATGCTTGATGCAATATATATAGTCATGATTCAGCCTCCTTCAATTTAGTTCATAGGGAAAGTATAGGATTTAGAATCCTATAGAAATTGCTACTATAGTAGTAGTCATTTGGTTCACAGGAAGTATAGCAAATTTTGCTCTGTATGCTATTTTGGAGAAAAGTGTAGGAGAGTCTGTTTGGTTTGAGAGACCGAGAGAGATGTGATATGGGGTAGAGAGTCATGAGGATTTGTGTCATCTCTTTGTGGGCATATTCCTCAATTATTTGGGTTGAAGCTATCTTCCCGAAATGAGGGGACGGGCTCGCCATCTCACACGGCATCACACCTCCATTTGGCTAGCCGTGTTATCGCCTTCCTCTCTCACCCATTCCCCGGTGTCCGTCTCTATTGTCACCTAACTTGACGCTACTTCCGCCCTAACCACTTTCCAGGTGTGCCCCCTTCTCGGTCGGCACCTCTTTCTCGATGTTCACATGGACGCGCGTAAGCTCCAATGGTGGCCTCGTCGCTCAAGCTCGCCTCCACCAAACCTCTCGCCTCCGCGCCATCCACACTCCTCTGTGGGTGTCACACATAGGCGTAGACCTCCTAGCGTGCCGCCTTTGACTGCCCACCCATACCGATTGCTCGCACGGCACCTCGACTCCTTTGGCAAGGTGCGCATAAAGTGCGAACCCTCAATCCTGGCCACCTGGCACTCCTCGACTGGCGTGTTCCTTCATTGGAGCATGGCCCTCCCCCGTCCCTTCACCGGCCACCTTCATTGGCGCATGGCCCTCCCCCGTCCCTTCACCGGCCATGGAAATGTAGTGGGAGCTCAAGGTCTTATGCCAGACGGTCAAGTCCTCTGCTTTGAATGGTTGATAGTCGTGTCCCACAAATCATAGTGGCAAAGGATGGTTAACGACCGATTCTTGTCCTTCACACCAATTCCTTGAACCAACACAGAACTAGGATGGTCCTACCCAGAAACCAAACATTTAAACAGGATCATCTCGTTCCAAAAATTATATTTGGGCCATCCCGTCATGTATACCCCTGAAACCTTACATATGCTTAGCATCCACTCAAATCTCTTGGTAAACATTCTTCATGTTTCCTACAACCTATCCAAACAACCATTCCTTCAAAAATCATATGATTTTCAATCATCTGTTTTGCCACTGTACAACTACATAATTATTATGTTTCTTTTATTTATGCGTTTTTGTGTTGGTGTGCTCCAAAGGGATGAAAACGGTCTCCATGGGACAGTGGTGGGCACCTATCATGCATTCACAAGGTGTGCATGCAAAATCATCCAACGTATGTGTCTGCTGCATAAATTTAGGAGTAATAGTTACAAAGGAAAACTACACATCTCTCATGTGCTAGATTTCATATGCACCACTTATTTCTTTTTCAATCCAAAGGGGGTGGGCCTAACTATGTTTTGGGCCTATCCAAACGATGGCCCCTTTAAAATTCAGATGATTTCCAATCTCTTCTTTGCCACCGTATTCCTACATAATTTTTATGTTTTTTTTCTATTATTGTGTTCTCATTTGTTCCCAAGAAAGTAGGAGCCTATGTTTTTTTTAAGCCGGGCCTATGTATGTCTTTTTGGAAAGATGAGCCTATATATGTTTTTTTTTCTATTCCTATGTTCCAAAGAATGCCCATATGTTTTTTTTTCTATTCCTATGTTTCAAAAAAGCCATGTTTTGTTTTGCATTCCTGTTCCAAGAAAGCCAAATAATTTGGAATGATGTTTTTTTTCTATTCCTATGTTCCAATTTCCAAAGGAGGCCTGACCTAACTAAGGTTCTGCATTCCTGTGTTTCTGTTACAAGGAAGCCCAATAATCTGGAATGGAGTGGAGGATTAATCTGTGCCGTTAGCATGCTTAGCATCTATCTTTTAAAAAAGCTTGCTTAGCTTCTTAGCCGGGAAGAAAGGGTTAATCTGTGTCGTTAGATTTATTTAAAAAAAAAACTGTGTCATTAGCAGGGACTTGCTACTCTACCTCCAGACTCCCAGTAGCTTAGTATCCTCAATCCGACACTTAAATATATAGCAACAACAAAAATTTCCTTGAACATGCGCCAAAGCTTCAATCAATATAATAACATATATATCGCAACAATTTTTTTCTCGAAACAAGCACAAAAGCCTCAATATAATAATATCGCGAGATCCACAATGACAGTTATGACAAAGAAACAGCTCTCCAGGGTAGAAAATCTAGCAGATAAGGGGGATAGAACAAGAGGGGCATAGAACAAGGTGGGATGCGCTGGTACAGGAGCAGGGTAAGCACCCAAAGCACTACGACCATGAGTTTAATGCGATTATTTTGCTTTCGCTGCTTCTGCTGCAACAAGTTCGTCGATGAGATTAGCAGCATCTTCAACAGTTGCGATTGACTGCGCGCTTGACTCCTCCACAGTGATCTTGAAAGCCTCCTCAAGGCCCATAACAATCTCAACCTAAAAAAACAGATCCATGGAAGAATTAGTCTCTCTAGGAAAGAAAAGGGCGAGCCCAAGAAAATACAAGATGAGAGAGTAACCACAGTTTATACTTAAAAACGCAAATGACAATAGAAGTTTGCATAAACTTCGGTCCAGAATTAGGTACAAGTATAACAACTGTTCAAGAGGAAAAAAATAAATAGATAAACTAGATTGTTGTTTTGCTACCCAAGAACCATACGAAAAAATTAAATAGATAAATTCAGTTGTTGAAAACTTAAAAGTGTGTTATAGTTCACTTACAGTGTCCAATGAATCAGCACCAAGTTCTTGAAACTTAGAGGAGCCACAAACTTCAGTGCCATCAGCAAGTGCAAGCTGCTTCTTGACAATCTTACAAACCTCATCCACGGTCTCCTTTTTAGCCTGGTCAAGTGCATATTTTACAGCAACAATAGAAAGATCATAATCATTAGGTAACACAAACTTCAGTTTAAAGAAGATTGCACCAGTATAATCTACCAGCTAAATACACAAACACAATGTGATGGGACGTTTTACAGCCACACCAGAAGCTACACGTCAAAGAAAAATCCAGGGGTGCCAAATGCAAAGGAATAAAAGGATAAAAAATACTTCAGGAATTCTCTTGAAAATTCCTTTCATCAGAGCTATGTACTCACAAAAATGCAATCAAGTACATAATGGAAGCACTTAGTGCACAATGCATACAAAATCTCTTCAGAAGCCAAACAAAGTAGTTGAAACAATTGGCATATGACATAGAAAAGAAATTAAATGGAGATGCATAACTGCAGCATCATGCAGTGATAAATTTATGTGGTTACAGATCCATAGTACAAAAATTAGCTACTTACAGGACAGCAAGCAGTGATCAATTTATGTGGTTACAGATCCATAGTACAACAATTAGTTATCAATATATGTGGCTACAGATCCATAGTACAACAATTAGTTACTTACAGGACAGCAGACCGCGAATCTTTGTGGCACAGGCTGCAGGCGGAAGGCTACATTATCCTTCCTTAAACCAGAGAAAGAGGCAGACTTGATGCTGATTGCCTGTGAAACACCGAAGGTAACATCGTAAGATATGAGAACTAAGTCCAGACAGCATCAACCATTGCTTCAAATTGTCCACTTGACTTATTCTTTTATCACATTGTCCACTTGACTATGTATCATTGATTCAAGCTTATTGTAGAATCATTGCCATGTACTATTGCATTACAAGATTATCGAGAAGAAAAGCGAACAAGTACACACCAAACTCAAAGATAATTATAGCAGCATGCTACACAGAATGAAATGAATCTCAGCATATCTCTTCGCATATTATCCAAAATGTTCCTTTTGTTTTCAACCAAACGGTAACACAGAACTACAGAAGAAAAGGTTCACCAGACCACATATGGCCACTAGATTTTGTGTTAGTTCAAACTTCGAAAAGAATATCACACTTTTTGGTCGAATGTCAATCCACTTGCAGGGCAAGAACAAAAAAAACATACTGAATTGTGCTTTTGAAGGTGCTACATGACATGAGTAGTCATTAGAATATATATGATGAGCATGAGTACAGAGTACTTCCTTATCTGAAACCCAGACTATCAAACTATTTGCACATATTTTAGCATATACAGGCACATAGGTTAACATCCTTCACGTCAACTGAGGGGCCCTAACAGCCGCGCATCATGTATTTTGCATTGTCCTTTATGTGAAAAAGAATCAATATCCTTTATAGTTTCCTTTTTTCGCAATAGGGCCATTCACCCGTTTTTCATTAAGAGGAAATTAGTCTCCGAAACACAATGCGTGATCACAATGGCGAGGAGCCTTCGTAATCACCCTCCTTTATAGTTTCCTGACTCCATCAACCTAAAATATGAAAACTAGCTATTCTTCTGACACACTAGGAACCAGACATCAGTCCACATAAAAGGAGCATGTCTTAAATCACGAATGAACCGTTAATGATACACAGGTGATTAAGGGTGTAAGCATGAAGGTGGCAGTACATGATAAGCATGGAAAGATTCGTCACCAATATACCCCTAAATCATTGAGTCAGGTGAGACAATACTAGATTTGACTCCAAGTTCAATCAAGATAGAAAATTCCAAAAATCTCATGGTACGGGTACATCCGTACAGAACTTCTGACTCCACAAGCATTCGGGTACAGGGTCCATAAACACCACGGACACTGCGCCACTAACCCAAACGATGAAGAAGCGAGCGCATAAACTCATGTCAGCGCAGATCTATCGATTTGAACTCTACAATCGACCGATATGATCACAGTGAATGGCTTCGCATCAAAGGGCATCGCAAACGCGACCAGACACCAGTAGTTCAACCAATAAGCACGCAGACATAAACCAGAGAAGAGAAATCGCAACCGTCGCAACAACCGAAACCCTGCGCCGCTAAAGCTAAAACCCTACCCGTACTCGGATTGACTCACAGATCAGACAACTCGAGAGGCGATCCGGCGCTATACCTTGACGGGCCTCGCAAAGGAGAGAGCGGATCCGGTGAGGGAAGCCATGGACGAAGCTGGAACAGCGGCGGCGGCGGCGAATGGAGGCTCGCGGCGGGGCTCGGGAGAAATGAGAGTTGCAGGAGTCCAGGAGACGGGTGAGCGAGTGGGTGGGGGCTAAGGGAAGGTGGCGGGCAGGAGTATATACTGGGGTGGGGACATGGGCGGAGCTGTGTGCGCATCGGGCGTATCGATGCGACTCGGGGACGGGCGGAGCGCACGAGGCCCGGCCCGTGACCGTGACGCCGAAGCCGCGCGGCGTCAAGGCTGGCCAGGGCGCCAGGCCTCACGGACCAGCGCGGCTCGCTCGCTGGCTCCGCGCCTCCGCCGCCTCGCGTACGTGCCAGGTCCCGCCCGGCGTGGGCTGCTCCGCTCAGTGCAAATTCCGACTCGCATGACGAGACTTTTGCGATTTCCGTATCTCAATGAGCCCGTTCGCTCATTGGTTTCTAGACGTGATAAATTTAGCTTGATGTTAATTTATTATGAGAGAAAAACATTATGATTGAAATCAGAAAAAAAAAACTTCTGCGATTTTCAGCCTGCTGTCGCAAGGAAGTCCAACTTGACAGCCTAGGGGAGAGATCGCCTACTGATTGCGAATGCCGTATGGACACGCACGAGTGCACAACATAGCCGGGGTTGGTGCGAACGTTGCATCTAGAATGTGAAGATTTAAGAATTCCTTTTTTTTTTAGAACGTGCGTTGCACATTTTATTAAGACTAGCAAACATGTTCGTACGTTACAACGGGAATCTAATACGTAGGGAGTTGCAACAGAACATGAGTTTAAGTCAAAAAATAAATTAACTTAGTGATAAAATCTTTGTTTCTTAAGGAGTCAAAGATTAAAAATGATTTAATCTCTTATTTATTATTTGTTTTTACTCTTATTATTTTATCAAAACAAGAAAAAAAACAGGTGGAGAAAACAATAAAAACAAAATCAAAAAAGTGGAGCCACTCGGAGCAAGTTAAAATGGACAAACTAGAAAAAAAATGAAAAAGAACACAAAAAAGTAAACAAAGAAATTATAGCCTTCTTTTCTCTATTAGATTTCTATTCTTATATTTTTGCATTTGGATTAATATTCCTATTTCGGTTACTCGGAGTTGGACAAAATGTAATTGGATTAAGATTCCTAGTTGTCCATATTATTATATTTTTTCTATTTAGATTAAGATTCATATTCACCCAAAATCGGAGAGATATCTAATTGGATTAGGATTCTTAGTTATATAAAGAGAAGGGATATAGGTGGGTTTTCGCATTCACAAAGTTAGTTAAGAGATGGTCGGACCAAAAAATAAGTGATGAGAAATTTTACCTCTTTATTATTTTATTATTAAGACTTAGAATTCCTCAATTACGAGAACTGATCATAGTTCAGTTGGTTAGATTTGTTGTGGTGGGACCTATCCACCCGGGTTCAAGTTCTTGATTTGGCATGGGTACTCGTATTTTCCTGTATTTATTCCTAAAATTTAACGGTGCTCGGGTTCAAGTCCTCGACTTGGCACGAGTGCTCGATTTTTCTTGACTTTATTCCTGGATTTAATGGCGCTATGCTTTCAGCGGTAGGCGACATCCCCCTCGACAACAAGGCGCGAGTGCTCGCATTTTTTGAATTTATCCCTAGATTTAATGCCCCTTTCAATGGTAGGCGACGTACCCCATTTTCCTGAATTTATTCCTAGATTTAATGGCCCTTTCAATGGTAGACGATGTCCCCGTCGACAATGAGGCGTCTGTGGTGACTTCATACTATTTCATAGGGGTGAGTATGCGTGCGTGTTGTGGATGTTTACGTTGTACTGTGTAATTCTAAAAAAAAGGATTCCTCAATTACAATGCGTGCTGTGGGCGTCTACGTTGTAATTAAAAAAAAGAACTCATCAATTACAATGCGTGTTGTGAGCATCTATATTGTACTATGTAATTCTTAAGAAAAAAAAAATCCTCAATTACAATGCGTGTTGTAGATGTTAATGTTGTACTATGTAATTTTCAAGAAAAAAGAATTCCTCAATTATAATAATTTGTTTACGGACTCCAGCTAAATAGCCTTTGATGGTTATACTATGAGCAAGTTTAGATCCACTTGCACCAATAATTAGCAGCTAAAATTACTACTAGATAATTAGTACATATCTGCTACTAGATCAACTATTAGCTAGCACATGCTAACTATTAGTTCATTAACAGACTATCGACAATTCATATCGCCAACTATTCAATTTGATCGTCGCGCGAATACTCATTTGAAAGACTGACCTACTTTCATGTCGCCGACTATTGAATTTGATCGTCGCGCCAACACTCATTTGAAAGACTGACCTACTTTCATATCGAGTGGAGTGATCGTGTTGCCGAGCTTAAATACTCCGTGTTTGTGATAGAGGTTATAAATGAGAGGAGTTGAATGTTCGAGAGTTCTCATGTGCTAGCGAGAGAGATCTCAACCACATATTGTCATGGGAGGCCGAGTTAAAAAAAGATTTGGCATCCTACCAGTCACCTAGTTCAGATAGGGGCCGTAGGCCCCTTGGTCATCAACATCTTCTTTCCCTCCATACCGTTGCTAACCACCGTGTCATTTAGTCTTGAGTTGATTCTTGCTCTACTTATCTACTATACTTCAATATTGCCGTACTAATCTAGATTTGAGCTAAAATCACTAGAGCAGAATTATCATGCTTGCAGTTCAATTTGTTGTTGCTCTTTCTGATCTCTTTAACCTGCCAATCTCAGTTGAAGCCTACAACCAGATGCAGGAGCTCCAGTTTGAACTCTCAACATTAGTGCTTGACACCATGAACGATAACTGGACCTACATCTGGGGTTCCTCCCAGTTCTCCTCCTCCAAGGCTTACAGAATATTAACAGGCCACACTCAGGTTGACCCTATCTTCAAATAGCTTTGGAAGGCTTCCAGTCAAAGCAAGCACAAGGTGTTCTTTTGTCTTGTAAGCACAAGAAACATGCTAAGAAGAAGAATGCATCTAGAAGACTATCATTGTGTGCTTTGCCAACAATCCTTTGAAGAAACAGTAATGCACCTGCTTTTCTATTGCCCTTTTGCTAAGAATTGTTAGGGGATGCTGAACTTCCAATATGCATACCACCACATAATTCCACAAATCTTTCAAGCCTGGAAAACCTTCCTGAATGTTGCTTTCTCCCTTGACATCTTCATCATACTTTGTTGGGCCATCTGGATGATGAGAAATGATGTCATTTTCAGAAACAAAAACCCCTCTGTTGCGGACTGGAAAAGATATGTTACGGTGGATTCACTCTTGTTGCTGCACAAGACGAAAGCTGGGATCACCCCCTCTTAGAATCACGGACCCAATCTCATTTATAATTTCCATGATTTTCTTCCTCTCCTTCTTTGTACCCTGAAACCCCCTCCCCTCTTCTGTCTTTTGCTGTCTGCTTTTGAAATTTTGTACTCTGTTGTTTAATTTCTTTATAAAATTACAGTTGGAGCCTCTGACTCCTCTTTTCTCACCCATAGTAGATTTTCTTATATTCACGTTGGTTTTCAATCAAGTTCACCAGTGTGTCCTAGAACTTTTATATGGAGTCAGCGCTTTCTCCTGGACTACATTAGTGCCACAGCATGCCTAGAAAGTATCCCTCTGTTCTAGAATAATAAGTGTATTTTAATCATAAAAAAGTTAAACAAAATAGATTTTAACCTTTAATTTCTCTCACTATATATTTTGATTGACTAAAAAATAAATGTATCTCAGAGGCACTTTGAATACAAGTCTATTGACACAAGCAGTGATGGATCTAGGATTTTGTTAAAAGGTTTGCCACACATGAATTCTATATATACTAATTGGGTAATCCGTTTAGTAAGATGGTAAAAAAACATAAATGTTGCCATGCATTATGGTACAATAAAGTGCAATCAAACATAATAAGTCTTATGTTCAACAATTAAGTTTAACCATGCATAAACAACAACCCAAATAGTTTAAATACCATGCGAATATTTGAAATACAAAGTACTCGCATTTCATTTCATATGTATTTGAGCTTGAAAATTCAAAAAAAAATCTTTGTTTATGGAAATCTGAGGGCCAGACCATTCTCTAATTCAGATCAAGAGAATCTAACTATGATCAACCAAATCACTATGCACATAAGCATCTCGTACTAGTAGTAACAATGAGCAGAGGACGACCAACCTATATATGTCCGGTAGTTGTAAATTTAGAATCCTTTGGTTAGGAACAACTTGTGTGTCAGTCTTAGCATCATCCGTAATTCTATTTCCTAGAGGAAAAACAAAACAACTTAGAATTTGAAACGAAGGAAATACATGATAACCTATACATAACTCATCATAAATGAAATGGTAGTATCAAACTAGAGGAGAGGATGGAAACAACAAAGGACCCAGACTGAAAAGAAAAGGAGGCTGTGACGGAGACGCCGTGTTCCCGCGGCTCGGTGGCTGAGGCCTACGACACATGGCAGCTAGTGGAGGAAAAGTGTTGTCCTACGTGCAGTGGCCCAATGGGTCACGGCTTGGGTTGGAGGCAGGACAGGAGCGCCGGCCAGCAGCCATCGGTTTGCCGTTAGTCCTGTACGACGTGCCGCTGGCTGTGCGGGCGTCGGGTGGAGCAGCTGATCGCTGGCTCCGAAGATGGGTCTCGGGGTGACCGATTGGTATTAGGGCTAAACCAAAAGCTCATAGCCCAAGACTTATTAGTTGTTCTTCAATGAGCTAAGCTAGCGCCAGCTCTAGCTCGCGAGCCTAGCCTTGAGCTAATTTCACACAGAACAAATAAACAAAAAAAAGCTTTACAACTTGCAACAAGCACTCAAGCAGTCATTGCTGAATTCTGAGAACTGGAACTGTGTGCCACTTCCTTCAAATGCACGCGTTCTCATCTCGTCAGCAATATCGCCCTGGACACTTCGAATCTCTTAGATGATCTTTTTTTTATATGCCCTTTGAGGGCTAATTTGGAGGCACATCTAGGAATGAAAAACCCTCCATGAAGAACTAAATAATTATTTAAATTATTTTCTCATGGATTTTCCACGCTGGAAAAAATCAGAGATCCTAAGGGAATTTGAGTTTTCAAATTAGCCTTGAAGGGAGCACTAGCAACCTTCTCCGGTGACCGTAAAATGTAAATTGTAGCATATTGTACTATACATATAAGTGGACTGATACAACACTAAACTCCCTGCAATTGAGCTTTTGCTTTAGGACTCAATCATTTTTTTTTTGTTTCCTCTGCTCATACAGAAACGAATGAAGAAGCGACGGTAAGCAGCAAGCAACAAATTAAATAAGCGACGGTAAGCAGCAAGCAATCATAGTAGGTTCTCTACGTATCTTGGGAACAGGTAGTCCACGATAATCTCGTATGGTCTCTCGGTAGGATGGAAGCTGTCCCAGAAGACATACTTCCGGTCGTCGGGGCACGTCGCCGCCGTCACCTGGTTGCACAGGAGCGACACCTCGAACTCCCCGGTGCCGCAGCATCCTCTCGTCGAGACCTCGATGCCTGCAATGCAACGCAGCCAACGAGCCATCAATTCAGAGCCTCAGAGCCAGTTCAGGATGGCAGCCAAGGCAAGCGAGGCGCGCACCGTATTTGCAGGGGTTCGTGATCATGTCCTGCAGGATGTCGTAGATGTCCACGTAGCCGATCTTCTGGCACTGCAACTCCTCCTGCAGCTGCGCGATCTCCTCCTTCAGCCTGGAGTTGTACAGCTGCGCAGCGTGGTTGCGAGCCGGGTCGCAGTCCCTGCCGAGGCCGCCGGCGAGGGTCCGCTGCGACGGCACGCACCCGACCGGCGGCATCCCCAGGATTGCGATCCTCCTGGCCCCTTACTGGTACAGTTGCTGCAGCGACAACACCAGACATGACAATGAGTGGGTTCATGGAATGGGAATTGGTGAAAATTTCAATAACTCCAACATTGTCTGGTGTTGAATTGAATGAGGTTGCGTTGCGAGCGGGAAAGAAGATTTCACCCTCATGAAGTCGCAAGCCTGCTGAACAAGGAAATCCACGTATGCCGAGATGTCGTACTGCAGAGGTCTGACAGGGGCGAGGTGGTAGTTGTTGGCGATGTCGTCTGTCCCGGCGCAGACAAGGAACAGGCTGTCGGCAACGATCCCCGCGCCGGCCTCATCTCCGACGACCCCTGCGAGCTTCTCCTTGTACTCGGCAAACATGTTGAGCTCCTCCTGCATCGGCAGGACCGCCTGAAATAACGAAGAATGCAAGGCGCGGCATTTTAACATCTCGACACCGGACCAGCAGAGAACATGGGACTGATCGCTTGATTGTTTAATTACCACGAGAGTGGAGGTGAGGGGGTCGTAGCCGGTGCCTTCAGAAGCGAAGCTGACGCCAGTGCAGAGGTCGTCGTCGGTGAGGTCAGTGCCAAGATACGCCGGAACCAGGTCTTTCAAGCCAAGCCGTGAAGCTAGACACAAGCGTAGTCACGGCAATGTCGTTTTACAGGCATTCATATATACAGTGATTGTTCGTTAGCTTCGTGCTCGAGCTGCAGCGGGGAGTGGAGATGGAGTAATGGAGACACGAACCTACGAAGTCCGTTGGAACCCGGCCGTTGGAGAAGCGGCCGGTGGGGACGCCGCCGTTGAGGTCCTCGCCGTATGGCCTGAAGTTGGACTTGGTGAGCGTAAGGACGGCGTTGTTGTTGCCCGTGTCGACGATGGAGTCGCCAAACACCAGGATGGCCGGCACCCGCGGCCTGCCCCGGCCGCCTCCCGCCGCCCCGGCCTGCCATGGCGACACGGCGAGCACGAGCAGCAGCAACAGCGACATTGCGGTACCGCCGCGCTCCATGCATGAGCTGTATCCTAACCACTAGAGTTTGTTGCCTTCGAACGATTCCATTCTCGCCACTGTGGCAGGTTGATTGGGATAAAGATGCCTTTCGGCTGAGAGAAGGTCGTGAGATACCAAGACGCACAAGTGGGCGTCGGCAGCAGCGCAAGAGAGTCACTGTAAGCCTGGTCGGTGAGTGGCTAGATGAACTTCCAGCCACTACTGATCGATCCTGCATCCTTGATCAACCTTTGTTTCGACCTGGGACAGCTGAATGCACTGCATAGCATCTGGACTCGCTCGACAGTCGACACCCAACCACGGGACCATACGAAACGACCTTATTCAGATCACATGCATCCTAAGACTACGAGGCTAAGACCTAGGAAATGCAGCATTCACATGTAAGCATCGCCCTGAAGATTCGGCTAAACAAGAAGGAAAAAACAGTTAAAACATGGTCAGAGCCGATCCGGTAGGCTAGTCCCGATAAAGCCTGGTTTGGCATGGCTGCAAACAGCTCCAGCTACGTGAAGAAGCCCGAGCTAGTGAAGCCAATGATAACAGCTTTATCAGCTCTGAGTTTATTTAAAGAAAAGAGAGGAAAAAAAAAACTACCTGCTACATTGCATATAGGAGTCAGACCTGAAACCGGCTAGACCTTACCCATAAACGATGTCCAATTAGCTTCACAAACCATTATACGCAGATATGCCCAATAATGGAAACGAGAGCACATGCAAGGTTGGCACCTTGGCGCCTATCAGCCCCAATCTTACTGCATATAGCAATACAACACACAGCAGAGTCAATCGTGTTCAAGTCAAGGTCAGATGTGCCATTTTTTGTTGTTGTATATCCATGCCAGTCTTGTAAAGTACCACCGTATTCCAGCACCCAAATAGAAATGAAGCATGAGGGCACCAGCACTGTATAGGAGCACCCTTGGTTCTATATAGAAGCATGCTTACTTTGTTCAAAATATCATAGTGTATAGGAACGGCATCCATCATTGAGGTGTGGGCCCACAGCAAGAAAAAAGAATGCTACATTCCCCATTTACAATTGCAATGTCTGAGGTGAGTATACCAGATTGGGAGAGAGAATAATATATTTTATTTAATGGGAGCAGGTTCCATCTATAGGAGCTGGTTCTTTGTTTGGAGTATAGGAGCGACGTGCGCAATGTACGGGATCTGCTCCTTCTGTTACAGAACCGGGGCAAATGAGCACACTGCGGACGCTCTAAGCCAGTACATGTGTGTTACCGTAAAATAGAATAGGCTACAGCTGGGGCAAAGTGACCGAAACATGAACCCATGATATTTATGGCTTCACAGATCTTTAGGTTGAAACACAAATGCTTTCAATCCATGCTGACTAAAGAGATGAACGAAGTCTACTATGGCTTCATTTGGATATGCTTCTCGAACAACTTAGGAAAACACTTGCGTCGGCCCCAACCCATGGGTCATCCCATATCCATAGTATCCTCGATCTCCCCCCACTGCCCCTGCTCTCCGATCCTCCTAGACCCCATGAGATAGAGCCACCCCCACCCCTCATCACCCCCTATTCTCCTGGTTACACTAGAAATCCCCACCAAACCTCTTCTTTCGGCGGGATGTATCTTAGCTCCTTATCAAACGACATCTTCTCACCAGGCGCAAGCTTCTCCGAGCAGGATTTGTCGATGTGCCCAATCCTTCCACATATGTAACAAAATTATGGGAGAAACTCATATTTGAGAGGGCACCACCTCTCCTCCACGCCTTCCCCCTTGTCAACTGTGATACCCCGCCGCAAGGGTTTGCGTATATCAATCCTCACCTTCACCCGTAAGAATCTCCGTGCAGTCAGACCATCATTCTCAAAATCCACCTCCATGAACTCCCTAATATCTTCACTTATGGTCATCACCGCCTCCTTATTCATGAGACCCATCGGCAACCGTGCAGCCTAGATCCAAATCAGGATGAAAGAAAACCCAATCTCATCGATGAATCAAAGTCCGCCACCACTAGCGCCTCTTTAGAAATCGTCAAGGGGCCATCCCTCATGGCCCTTCTCTTCCCTGCCGCTTGGAGGAACGTAAACAGGAAGCGGTTGTCCCCCTAGCTCTTGCACTCAATTCCCTTCATCGGGCACCAGATCCACCCTACCGCCTACTCCACAATCTCTGGCCTCACCTCCTTCTCCGATAGCAGTTTGCCAAAGGCTTTCGGAAATCCTTCACTCTGTTGAACCTACGAACTCTTCCCGATGCGGATCTTCTTCCTTTCTTCCTCTGACAGCTTCAAGTCCTTCATCATGTCCTCAACACCCTCCATGGCGAACCCTTCCACCGAATCAGTGGCCACACCACCAGAGCAACGGATGGAGAACTGTGGACTCTGGGTAAAGGTAAGCAGAACTATGTTTTAGGGTTTGTGACATGGACACACTTGCGTGAAAACTACCACCGCCCCCGAGATCCGCCACAGCGATGGATCAGAGAGGATGGATTAGGCCAAATTGGGAACCTAGCAATGAAACGATCAAAGCGATCAACCGGGAGAAGAACATGGGAGAAGATTTGACAATCGTTGCCCTAACCCCTCTTAAGTCACCTAAGTCCCCCTAGACGCCGAGGTCAACGCGAAAAGACTAACCCACAAAAAAGTCTGATTATTGAAAACACTAATCAGTGTGTTTGCTCCATTTCCCTTTCCTAGTCCAGTAGTCCCCTAGCCTGGCTACAAACATAAGCGAGCCTGGCCTTTGCAACAGTAGCGCGGTGTTTGGTTGCCGTTGCACATAGCCTTCCTCCACCCCTCCCCCCGTGCAATTTTCACGTTTGGGCGCCCTGTATTGGGCTGCATGTGGTCACTGATCCAAGCTTTTGGTGAGCGGTGAGCATACCAGCCTTTGGGCTTTGGACGTGAGGCCGCCCTCACTCTCTTCTGTTATTACTACCAACTGTGTTTTGATGCAGCATGTTCAGTAGCAGATGGTCACTGTAAGCCTATAGCTGACCTAGAAGAATCACAATTATCGTGAATTGAACAATAATAATAACTACATCTTGAGTAAAATGAACGAGCACATTATACTCTATTGTTGCACATTACGATCATAAAGAAAACAATTGTATGATTGAATTGCTTCAGTCCGGGAACAGTTCATGGCAAGCTCCCTTCAACTCTGAAACAGTTGATGGCAGACTGTCCAACTGGAGTACTACTAACTTCAATATAAACTAGACATTACTGATATGATATGAAAGCAGACGAGAAAAGTAAGGGGGTGTTTGATTCACCTAGCACCTCCTAAATTTAGTAGTTTTTAGTCTCTTTTAGTAACTTTTTTGTCAAACACCTTTACTAAAAAAGACTAAACAGCCTTTAATCAGCTAGTCACCCAAACCTTACTAGCAGCTCCTAAAACCACGTCTGGACAGGGCTTGCCCTTCATCAATGCGCCCTGTCCGAGCACACCGGTACCCCCTCACTCACAGCTCACTCTCTCAGCTCGCTCACTCTCTCCCTCTCGCGCTCGCTCTCCTCTGCTTTCCCCGCCGCCGCCACCACTTTGTTCCACGCCGCTGCCGCTCCTCCCAACCCCTCCGCCGGCGTAGCAGCTCCTCCGCTCACCGCTTCCGCCATGGACGGCCACGGGTCTGAGTATCCGGACTATTACTCGCAGTCCTCTTCTCCGGTGGATCTGAATGGCTCTGGTCTATCGTTCCCCCCATCGCCAGCGACTTTGGCGTCTTCTCCCAAGCGCCATCGTATGGTGTGGGCTCCTTCGCTCGACACGGCATGGAGGGGCTGGATCTGAACACTGACGTCGCCGGCTTCCCCTACATGGGCTCTTACCAGGGGCTCCTCCAAGGTGACTTCGCTCCCAGCGGTAGAGGGTTTCTTCCTCTTCGCATTGGCGCCAGATCCGGTGCTGGAGGGTTCGTTCCTCCTCGGCCGACCGCAGGAGCGACCGGATCTAGGAAACGCCCGGCTTCTTACGTTGCTGTGCGCCGCTCCAGGGTGGGAACCGGCAGTAGCCGTGCCCGCGCGCTGGCAGCTAGGATGCGTGGAACAGTTGCTTCGGGCAGCTCGTATCCTCCAACTGAAGTAATGGAGCCAGAAGATGACGACGACATCCCGCCCGAGGTGAGCTTGTTCTCTGATCTGATTCGTATTTTGCTCTGTTTATTATTTATGTTATGCATGTCTTATTTATGGTTCTGCATGTCTGTTTTATACTAGATTCTTATACTTTTCATTGATCTGATGTGTTAGGTTTTATTTGTTCGATGTACAAGTGTTTATTTGTCTAATCTGTTTGATCTACAAGTGTGTGTTAGGTTGTATTTGTTTGATCTACAAGTCTGTATGAACTACTATTGTTTAGTTGTTTGTTATTGAAGTGTGTACATGTTTCATGTAGTACTGTGTATTTGTTTGATCTATATCTGTCTATTTCAATTTTTGTCTCTTGTTCTCTGATCTGCTTCTCTACTAGTTTGATAAGGCAAATTGGTCCAATGTAAATACATTTATGTTCTCTTATCTTGCTGTTGATGAAATGAGAAAGGACAATTCAAGTAAGGGGACAATGACAAGGAGAGGTTATGATAATTTGAGAGATTTCTATGAGCAACAGACTGGCCTAAAGCATGATCTTAGATGTATGAAGAATAGATTCAGCCAGCTCAAGACCATGTACAGTTCTACAAGTGGGCACAACTACAAACATGCCATGACCAAGACACAGGGATAGATGAGGATGATGAAGATGGTGCTACTACTCTAGACGACTGTGGCTTATAGACCAGTTCACCAAGTATCACAAACAGCCGCAAGAGGACAAGCAGCACAACTGACACAATCTCAAGTCCTAGCAAGAACAAAAAGTTCCAGTGAATGTTATCATGCAGGGGCTGGTCACTCAATTGGAGATTGCTGCTGAGAAAGAAGTCAATGCATTGGAGCGAATAGCACAGAGCAAGAGAGGGGAAGCTGCAAAAGCAAAGCAAGCCAGAGTTGATGATGTTGTTAGGTGCCTCAATTTGGCTGTGGAGGCTGGGGCAGACAAAGCTTCAAATGAGTACTATGTGGCTACCATGATATTTAGAAGTAGCTACAATAGGTTGGTCTTTAGTGCCCTTGATACAAATGAGCAAAGGATGGCATGGCTGAGGAGGGTTGCCCACAATGCTTGAGGAGGATAGGATAGAATGGCAGAAGACTTGGCAGATGGAGTCTCCAGTTTGGCAGCCTTAATTTTATTTTGCTTAGGACCTTAAATTTATGATGAACTATATAATCGTAATGAACCATGGTTTATGTTTGGACCTTGTAATGCTTGTTGAACAATGTAATGGGTGTTGCTGCCATTGTTGTTGTGTTGTTGTGATGCCGCCCAAGTATTTTTTGTTCATGTCAACATTCAATGCTCTTTTAACATCTATTTCTTATAATGACCAGGGAGCATATGAAGTGGGATTTGGTGCTGCAGTGGATCGTGCTGGACTTTCTGATGCTGGTGTAGGGGCTGCTGCTGGAGTGGCTGATGCTGGTGTAGGATCTGATGATGATTGGTGGAGTACTACTGATGATGGTGCCCCTACTGAAGACTCAGATGACAAGTGGAGTACTGATGATGATTGGTCAGATGTTGATGATGAAAGGGACTACACTGATGATGAGGAAGCAAGTTTGATGATGCATGCTGCTAGGTGTCAGCTGAAGAGGAGAAGGATTGCTACTGCTGTGCTGTTGCTAGGTATGTACCACTATGACAAGTTCATGAACAAGACTGGTTATAGAGTCCCACTAGAAACTGGATATCAATGGACTATGAGAACCCTAGGACATAGGACACAATGCTATAACATGTTTAGGATGCACAGTGATGTTTTTTATAGCCTTCACACTTTGCTAGTTGAGAGATATGGTCTGCAGTCCACTACAAAAATGACTTCTATAGAGGTTCTAGCAATGTTTTTGTAGATGTGTAGTGCCCCTCAGTCCATGAGACAAACTGATAATAGATTTGAGAGGTCACTAGGGACATGTAGCAACAAGTTTGATAAGGTACTGTCTAGTGTGATGAAGCTAGCAATTGATATCATTAGGCCAAAGGATCCACAATTTTCAACTATTCATAGAAGGTTACAATCTCCTCGGTTTGCTCCGTACTTTGATAAATGCATTGGAGCTATAGATGGGACACATGTACCTGTCACTATGCCAACTGAGAAGGTAGTCCAGTACACAGAAAGGAAAGGAATCACCACGCAGAATGTGTTAGCCGTATACGACTTTGATATGAGATTTACTTTTATTCTAGCTGGATGGCCAGGATCAGTTCATGATATGAGGGTGTTCAATGATGCACTTGAGAAATTTGGCGACAAGTTTCCACATCCACCTGTAGGTATGTATGGGCTTTTACATTTCTTCATTGTCTTTGTCATAGTATTTGTCATATTACTTACACAAGTATTGTGTTGTATATACAAATTTTATCTTGTTGACTCGAGGTACCCAAATCGATCGGGTTTTCTTGCACCGTACAGAGGTACAAAATACCATGTCTCCGAATGGAGAGAAGGGCCTGCAACTAGAGGTAAAAAAGAGCTGTTCAATTACATACATTCTTCACTTAGAAATGTTATAGAGAAGTCTTTTGGAGTCCTAAAGATGTAGTGAAGAATTTTGTTGGATTTACCTAGTTTTCCCATGGCAAAGCAAAGCAAAATAATAATGGTATGCATGGCACTGCACAATTTCATTAGATAGAATGGTATGATGGATGACCTCTTTGACTTGTGTGATCAAGATGAAAACTATATACCAATAGAGGAAGAAACTTTAACTCAAGCAACTAGAGGCACCACACGTTTTCGAGACGAAGATGAAAACATGAATCAATTTCATGATTGGATAGCGAATGGTTTATTTGCAAGGTCATAGCAGCGCCATGGTTTGTAATAATGAATTTTTTTGTAAACCATTTGAACATTATTTGTGAGAATGTATATTGCAACAAACAACTACCATAGCAGTCAAGCAGAGCTGCAAGGAATGGCGCTAGCGTGCAGCCAAGCAGAGCAGCAAGCCAGGCGTGCATTTAGCGCTAAGGTCGCACGCGGGAGGCAGCGGCGCTAGCGGGAGCCAGCAGCGCGGCACCGTTGGCGCCAAATGCCAGGGGCACCGAGTTAGCATTAATGAGGGATGTTTTGGTCTTTATAAACATGTACATGTCATGTCTAGTCACCTAACCAAACATGGTCTTACTAAAATTTAGGAAAATTTAGGAGGCAGTTTAGCTGCCTAGATTTTAGAGCTGGGAACCCAGGGCCTAAGACAAGTCATTTTTGTTGGTTGGAGTAGTCTTATTTTGTGACACGCTGTCATCACCTTATATTCTTCTTGTGAGCAAAATTGTATACAAAGTATAGGAAGGCATGGAAAAATTGAAGAAAAAACACATGTAATCTGACAGAAACGAACACTCACCATATATGAGCACATCTCCTGTATCAGACCATTGAATCCAATCTCAAGATTCAGGAAAACAAAGCATAACTAAAAAAAACCGAGAAGCTACAGAGAGAAGGGGAGGATTACAGCACCAATCCAGTGCGCAAGCACTCCAAGAGGGAGAAGAGGAAGCACCCTGCAAACCTGCAACCAATAATCCCATCCAGCGAGCACCGCCAGATCTCAGGCACCATGAATGGAGAGACACAACTTTAAACCTCGCCACCTCAGATATGCAGGAATTGTCAGAGGCCATGTCACCTCGTACTCACCCTCGCTAACAGCGCCGTCCCCTTCCCCATGTGGCCTTCTTTTGAACAAAACCATCCACAGCACCAGATGTAGGTTCTCTCCTCAAGCGGCTTGGACACAAACATGGATAGAGTTGCAAGGAAGGAGGCGACCGGATAGGAGTGCAGCGCAAGAGAATTAAGAGATTCAGCAAATGGTGAGAGGAAGGTGAGCGGAATCATGACCCCTACGGGCATGAGCACCCCAGAGACTAGCTCCATGATAACGCTTGCAGTGAGCATTTCCAGCAAGCCAGGCTAGGATCCCTGCGTCAGGCATGAGCACCCCAGAGATTGGCTCCATGATAACGCTCGCCGTGAGCGTTTCCAGCAAGCCTGGCTAGGATCCCTCTGTTGCAATCCCATGGCCTGGCATAGGGCCTCGGTTAGGCATCAAAATACAGCGAGGCTGCATTCCTAGAGCCTGTCTAGCCCCTTAACTGCCCATCCAAACACACCCAATGTGAATTTTGTGAATTGCAATGCTGCAATTAGCACGCAACACAGCCTATGATGTTGCTGAATAGGGTCATGATAACAAATTTAGTAAGTCCTTTCGAGACTGATCACGGACCATAGTACCTTAATACGTACACCCTGAAAGAAAAACATGGAGGACCTTTTTTTTTCAAAAAATACATATTTAAATGTAAGACATGTAGATCCCCTAGCAATACTGATATCATTAGTGCCTTCTCCAGCCAACCACATATATTTAACAGTGTTTCCTTTTTGTTGGTAGCTCCTGCTGGGCTTCACCTCTAGCCTATCCCAACTTGCTTGACACTACAATGCTTTGTTGTTGTTGACAAAATATACAATATGCACACACTTAACATCATCAAGAAGCTATGGTAGATTATACCAATTGAAGACAATTTATCCCTTGTTGCAATATAGTTAAGGGTCAAAATAAGCAAATGCTGGAATGTGGATGTGTGGTATCATTGCAATTACATATAATGCCTTGCACATCGCACCAAAAGCTTAAATAAAGTTCCAGGTTGCATTTAACAGCTACATTCCCAAGGTTTGACATGCAAACGGAGCCAACAAACCATTTGTTGAATAGTGAATCACAGGTTGATCATCCAACTAGCCTAGACTAATCTTTAACAGAGTATATTCAATAACAAGGTAGTTGGAATATCTATTAAAAATGCTTTACCAAGTTATTCAAATGTACTTGAGTCTGTCCTTACTTTACAATGTGAACGATAAGCTTCCAGATATAGAGAAGATATGGAGTAACTCCTGTAAAACAAAGGCTCACTAAGAATAAAAATAAACGGCTGTAACATGAATCTCAAGTGCAAAGTTAGAAGTTCACAATCACAACACTTTGTAACTCAATTGTCATATCACTTGCGCAAAGACCATTCTCAGCTATCATTATTATTTTGTAAGAACACAAACAATTTGAAACTAATAACAATCTACTGTATTGCAGGAATCTAACAATTTAGCAAAGTAAGGTACTAAGGTAAACAATTGATACTAGGCATATAATAAGTAAAATCAATGGTAGAATACATTGGTTTATGAAGTGAAGGATAAAGCACCATTACAATGATCTGAGATCAGCCCTAAAGTTCATAAATAGTCAGGAAGACATGAGCAGGTAAAATCGCTAGCATAGAAGATTCTACTCGAAATGCCCAAGCATATGATAGAAGGCAAGTACAATTGAAAGCCAACAAAAAGGAACAGCTTACCGAGCATTAATCCTCATCATCTTCTTCTGAGCTCCCATCATCACTACTGTACTCATCACTACTACTGCTATCAAAATCAAGCTGCACAGGCTGGACCTGTATTGGCTCTTGGCCCATTGGCACCACTGGTCGCACTGCAACAGGTGGCTGCGGCACAGGGGCCTGTGGCTCTTCGCCCTTGATACCAGGTAATATCTCGTCAGGTGGCAGCGTGATCGGGTCACCAGGCTTCCATCCCGGCGGTGGCTTTAGCTCCTTCGGGAACATGGGTGGCAAGGTGTTTGGTAGCCTCGATGGCCCCTCCTGTGGTGGTTCATACAGTGGTGCAGCCTCCACTTCTGCTGCGATCCCCTCCTTCGCATCCAATGGCTTCTTGGGCACCCCTACATCCAAATCAGCAAACAGATAGAGCTGCGATGCCCTCATCTGATTTTCCTGTGGTACAGGTGGCAGGCTGACACGGAGAGGCAGCCCAGCACCATGCTCCGGCGGAGCAAAGGTTGTGTAACTTATGCGGTGCGCATAGGTCAGGATGTCATCCAGCTTAAGGCCGGAGTGGAGGGACGTGCCGAAGTCGCCCTCCGACGCTGGCTCGAGGTCGTCAGCAGCAGCGGCGCCACGCGGGCGTTTGGGATCGCGGCGGTAGTCAGCGTAGTCGTCGACGAGGCGGTCAAGTACTTGGTGAGCCTCGTGCAGCTTCTTCGCAAAGGCTAGCAGCGCAGCATCCTTGGCACGCGCCTCGCGGGCAAGGCGCGCGCGCGCATCCTGCAGGTCGAGGGTCTCTTGCAGCTCGGCGACGGCCTCGAAGAGCTGCGTCTGCAGGGTGGTGAGAAGAGAAAGCGCGTCCTTGGTGGAGGAGATCGGGGTTGGCAGCGGCGGCGAGGAGGAGGACGCCGATGGGAGGAAGGTGGGGAACGACCCCCGGTACGCTTGGATCCACGCGGCGCGGTTGGGCGAGAGCTCGAAGAGGTTGGAAGCGAGCGAAGATATAAGCTGGAGCAGCGATTGCGCGCGCGGAAGCGGCGGCAGGAGCGGTAGCAGCGACGGCGAGGTGGTTAGGGTTGGGGCCGCGCTGGCGCCAGCGGCTGCACTCGAGGGCAGACTGCCGTGTGGAGGCGATGACGTGGGATTCAAGGGGACCGGATTGGGCGGGAGCGACGGCGACGAGGCTGTGAGCCCCAACCTCGCCGGGGAAGGCAGGTGCGACTGCATCATCGCGGCGGCGGCGGCGGAGGGCGCAGCAAACGGACCGGAGCTCGAGATGCTCGTGCTTGATAAGTCAAGCCAAGTGGGCTCATGAGCCGAAAATGGGCGGGCTTGCTTTAGTAGTTACTTGCTGTGTGTTTGGGCTTTTTGTGTATTGAGCAGGCCCAACTAATCCGCGTTAAAAGCCCTCTCCTTGCCTACCCACCCGCCGCTTCGTCCCAAATCCCTGTTGGCGGGAGGCGAGCAGCACGCCGCCTCCGCTTCCCGCGCAACGCAAAGCAGCAAATCGAAGTAGCCATGGACGGCGGATCCTCCACACCGGCGATCCCCCAACGGACGGCGGCCGCGTCCGCGGCGGAGATGGAGGAGTACCGGAACTGGAAGAAGAACGCGGCGGTGCTTTACGACCTCGTCATCTCCCACCCGCTCGAGTGGCCGTCGCTCACCGTGCAGTGGCTCCCATCGGAGTCCTCGGCCCGCAGACACCGGCTCGTCGTGGGCACTCACACCTCCGACGAGGCCCCCAACAACCTCATGGTCTTGGACGCGGTGCTACCGCTCCCACCTCGCCTCTCTGCAGCCGCCGCTGCCTCGGGCGGCGCCGTCCCGTCCCCGTCCGTGTCCGTCTCCCGCGTGGCGCCACACCGTGGCGAGGTCAACCGCGCGCGCTGCATGCCGCAGCGTTCCTATACGGTGGCCACCAAAACGTGCGTCGACGAGGTGCACGTGTACCATCTCGGCGATGGCGACGGCAGCGGGAAGAGCGGCGCCGATGTTGTGCTCAGGGGGCATGAGGCGGAGGGTTATGGCTTGTCATGGAGCCCGATGAAGGAGGGGTGGCTGCTGAGCGGCTCGTATGATAAGAAGATTTGCTTGTGGGATCTCTCCTCTGGGAGTGGAGCTCCTGTTCTGGATGCACAACAGGTGTTTGAGGTAATGCCCCGTTGGATGCTCCTGTTTCTTTTTCTTCGATTAATTAATGTGCTCGGTGCTCTTTATTTACTATCACTGCATTTTCAGGTCATATACTTACAGTCACTTGATTATCGTGTGACTTGATGCACTTGAGTAATTTGATTTGTGCTTCTTTTCTTTTCCTAATGATACTACGTTCATTTGTTTGTATTATAAAAAAATTGGGATTAGAACAGTGTGTGCAGTAACTCGAGTTCATTATTAGATTTTCCATAATTATTTATGATAATAACCGGTCAACTGGAGGTGATTGAGATGTAGGTTTAAGGAAAAGTAGCAAGCCTAGGCACATCCTGAGGGAAATTTGAGCATGCAGCATGGATTGATACTTTTTATGTCTTATTATCTTATTCTGTAAACCAACTGATTATGTCTGAACAGTGTGCACAGTAACTCGAGTTCATATAGATTTTCCATAATTATTTATGATAATACTCTGAGGTGATTGAGATGTAGGTTTAAGGAAAAGTAGCAAGCCTAGGCACATCCTGAGGGAAATTTGAGCATGGCTTTATACGTTTTATGTCTTATCTTATTCTGTAAAACGAACTGATTATGTCTCATGTAAGAAGTTTGTATGCTTTGTGATGTTCAACCAAGGAAATAACCGTTTGTGAAATCTATTTTAACATGCTTAAAATGGGGATACTATTAGAAATGAAGTAGTTGTCTGGTTCCTCTTTGCAAGTGAGTAGTGATTCACTGTGATCCACTTATTCCCTAACATGTCCATGCTTCTCTCTTTCTATATATAATTTGGCCAGCGGTCTGTGACGATAAGAACCTTTGCACATTGATTAATCAATCCCAAAGAGACTATTCTCTGCTCCTGTACCTCCATTAGAGGCAGAAGTTCTCTGTTTCCATAGCCCTGTTTGAAGCAAACGTGATCATCATCATGTGGCCCTATCTGTCTGCCCCTGATTTCTGTAAATACTAGGAGAACTTGCATCGGCTGTTTGCTATTAAGGGTATTTATGTTTTCACTTATATGCTTTGCAGTCAGCATAGATTCAGGTAGCTTATATTCCTTCTGTTGAAATCCAAGAACTATTATCTGAGGGTTTTTTATTCATACTACCATGCTTTGCCGCACAAGCTTCTGAAATCCACTCCATTCATACATATATGTTTTTCAAGTGCATTTTGTTATTTCCTTTTTATGTTGCCAAGGAAATCAACTTCAGGTTTTGTGTTCCTTTTTCATTTGTTATACCCACAGCTATATATGAGGCAATAAGTCAATAGCACAGATAAGCAGCAAATTATTCAGTCTTCATATAAAAACTTGTAGAACTAAAAGAATATATGAAAGATATTAGTAGTTTACCTTTCAAGCCTCCACTTTGTTCTTTACCTTTACTCACTAACTGCATCTAATATGTCTATTAGTTCTTTCATAGCAATTGGTATTCTTGCTAGATAACACATCGATCTTACCACAGAGGGGCTTTGTATATATTGTCTTCATTTCCAAAGGACAGTGTTGCTCTTATATTCATTCTCCTAAAGCAGTTTGTTCATAGCAGGAGATGTGCACTTCAACCAGTCAGTTACTATGAAAACCACTAAGGCACTAAGAACATGACGAGTCTTCATGAATCGTATCCACAAACCTTCTAGATAGGATGACAAAGTTGGGTATCAACAACCCCTAATTACTAATTAGCTCTCTTAAGCAACTGAAATATTGTACAAGCAAGTTGAACCTTTGTCTGATTGTCTTAATAAAAGTAATTTATGTACTGTTTGCATTTATTTATTTTCTACAAAAAACAAATCGATTCATATGAAAATGTAGTTTTAGAACTTAATGAGATTGAGTTTATCTTAGATACGGATTGACAAGGGATAGATGGGATAGCAAGAAGAACCAGCTAAGTCACCCTTCTTGCGTGCCTCGAGCTGATGGTGCGGCTGGGCTTTTATAGTCATCCCTAACAAACTAACTAATTGTCCTAACGAACTAACAATCTTGATTTGCCTAAGAACCTGGTAACGAAAGATGTGCTAACAAAAACACCAGTTGATCCTAATCTCCTCTAAGTGACATGCTACTGTTGCCATATTGATGGGCCCAGGCCCATAACAGTCAGTCTCTTTTTTAGAACTTCCAAGAATGAGTCATTACTTTGTTACTGTGGTTCTGGTTTTCTACTGTGTTTCTTGTCATGTAAAAAAATACTGTGGACTTGGGCTCCTGTAGAAATGTGACTGTTTGTTGTGTCTGGGTGTTTCCGACTTGTGTTGATAAGAGGATAATTGTTATTAGTAATGGATATTCCATGTGTTTGTTTTCTTTTCTCACCTATCTAATAAGTACAGCTGTCAGATTGCATTCATTTAAAACATGTTAGAAATCCGGACTTTTATGAGGATTATTTATTTATATGTCCAACTATACACAAAGAAGGCCATAATGATCTTCTTGCCAGTGTGTTGTTTTTATTCAGGGTCTAATGAATATTTGCTTTTGCAGGCTCATGAGGATCTCGTTGAAGATGTTGCTTGGCACCTGAAGGATGAAAATATATTTGGATCTGTTGGGGATGACTGCAAGTTGATGATGTGGGACTTGCGTACAAACAAACCCGAACAATCTATTGCTGCGCATCAAAAGGAGGTAGGCATGCTGTAATCATGGATTATCAAACTGTATGTTGAGGCCTGGATGATTGCACAGTTGCATTTGCACAATATCCTTACATGTTCATATTAACCAGCAGTTCATAGGAGCGGTATATGAAACAAGTTTTATAAAGCTATAAGATAATGTTCACTGCACCCCCATCAGATAATTTCCCCTTTTTCAGTTTATTGTTGGACGTTATGTACTGACACTTACTACTTCTGGTACCTTATTTTTACTGCTAAGGTAATTTTACACACATGATTCAGTTATGTGTGGCTTCCCTTATGATAAGGCAAATGGTGTGCACTGATGGTCATCCAACCTTTCAGTTGGTGTTTTTATTTGCTTCAAAGAAAAGTTTGGTTTTGTAAAAATTGTTATATGCTCGGTATGTCAGTCTTGTCATATGTCATGGATTGGTTTCTGTTCATAGTGTGCGTGCTTCCCTTTTCCAGGTCAACTCTTTGTCATTCAATCCATTCAATGAATGGATATTGGCTACAGCATCTGGAGACGCAACTATCAAACTATTTGACATGCGAAAACTATCAAGAAGCTTGCATACTTTCGACAGTCATGAGTACGTATTTTTTTCTGTGCCCTATGTGTTCAGTCTTTATTTCTTCGACAGTCATAGAATGTACCGTAGCCAAATAAACAGCTGCATTATTTAATCCTTTTACATTTTGCATTGTACTCCCTCCGGTTCTATAAAGCAAGTCGTTTTAAGGTTGTCTTAAGTCAAACATTTTAAACTTTGACTATAAATAATTTCTTTTGGGTTGAGTTTGAAAATATGAAAGTGATGTAAGTAGATTCATCTCGAAATGTAGTTTCATAAAAGTATATATTGACTATATTTTATAGATATTTTATAGCAAAAAGTTGCAGTCAAAGTTGTTTCTTAAAGACTGTGTCGATGTCCAAAACGACTTGCTTTATAGAACCGAAGGGAGTATACATTTGTACCGATTTGTTGGAAGATAACAAGTATATTAATGGGGCGGGGCAGTGGCAGACTTCGCTTGCAAACCATTTATGGCACTATTTGTTGTAATGTGCAGTTGGTAGAGAACATAGATGATACTGATTTCTTTAATGCGCAAACTTATCAAGTCGCAAAGTTCAATTAAAAAAAAGTCAATTTGCAAATTTCCTTTCAGATAGCAACCTGCTTTGAAGCACAGTCTGTCTGTTTATCTAACTTAACTCATTTATGTAGCTTGTCTTACTTTTCTTTGTTATGTGTCTGACATTTTATGTTGCGCAATTTGCACCTGTAGGGCGGAGGTGTTTCAGGTTGAATGGAATCCAAATTTGGCTACTGTATTAGCTTCATCTGCCGCAGACAAGAGAGTGATGATATGGGATATTAATAGGTAAGTTGAGTGAAATTCAGCTCCAAAGTTCTATTATGTTTGCAGTTGTATGAGATTTATCCAGTTCAACAGGTACATTGGGGGAGCTCTCCAAGCAAATAATTAACAGATTTACAAATGCTAACTGTACAAACGCTAAATCTATAGGAATTACCTTTTAGAGCTTTTAGTTGAATCCTTGGTATTTTTTTATGCTTGGCTGATAAGCCATGGCTGCCTGATTTGTTGTGAGAGAAAAATACTATTCGTTGGCTGAAAAAGTATGGCTTATAAGCCAAGCGAACAGGGCGACGACAGATTCCAATACAAGCTGAAGCAAAGGCTCGGGTCTTATTGGTGACCATTTCTTTTGACCATCGTCCCTTTCCTTTTTCTGATTCTCTGTGTTGTGTCCCTTTAGGATTGGCGATGAGCAGTCAGAGGAGGATGCAGACGACGGACCACCGGAGCTGCTGTTCGTCCATGGAGGCCACACAGCCAAGATATCAGAACTGTCGTGGAATCCTTGCGAGAAATGGGTCATTGCCAGCGTAGCTGAAGATAACATCCTGCAGATCTGGGAGATGGCAGAAAGCATCTACTGTGATGACCTCTCCATGCAGGTTAACTGACCTGATTCATGCCCTGAACGCATAACGGTGAGTTACCTGTTCAATGGTGCAAGCGTATCTGGAGGGATTGTATGCAGTTAACCTGTAGGATCTGAGATATTTCAGTTTTGCTACCTTTTGTTCACTGCAGAGTTGGTATCTATAAGAACTCTTTAAATTCGTATCATGCCTTAATTTACCTAGTCTGGATCTGTCTGATTGTGCATTTCGTCAGGCCTAAATCATGATCAGTTCGTAAGTTCCAAATTGTAGGTCGGTTTGACTGTTCTACAGTGGAACTTACCACTCCCTCTGTCTCTCCGTCCCAAAAAAATTCTAGGTTTGGTCAAAATCAAACTATAGGATAAAAATATGTTTCATGATGAATCTAATGATACCTATTTGGAATTACAAGATGTTTTGGTTTTTTTAATCTGTTGCATCTAGAAATGTCAAAATGTTAGATAATTTGGGATAGAGGGAGTACTGTCTTTATAAATTTGATTAGAGTTGACATACTTTGACGTACCACTGTTCTAGAGTTGTAGGAGTATCCTTTTCATCAGACAGATCTTTCATTGCGCAGTTGCACTGATGCGGGCAACAGCATCTGATCTGCATCTGATCAACAGACATTTGTAGTAGACGTACAATGAATACCGTGCTGATGGCACGTTCGAGAGAAAAAAATTTGTAGTAGACGTACGTAGAACGCTAGAACCTCGATCTGGCTCAGTTCGTTTTGTCGAAAAAACAAGTTAAAATACTATATACTGTTTCTATTAAAAAAATAAGCTAAAAAATATGGATTATAAGAAAAATTAACAGTGCCGAAACATGTTCCTCGTCAATCATCGTGGTCCATTGGCACAACGCAATCATTCGCTGCGCCTGGCTGTCAGGCCCCGTTGCCCCCAACGCGAAAAGACGGGGGAGGAAAAGGTAAGCTCAAAGATGCGTCCGCCCCGTCGCGTCCAGCCGTCCTTTCCCATCGCGCTGTCGCGAGATGCGCCGCTGAGATGCGAGGGGCGAAGCTACGTGAAGGCATCGGGGTCGGCCGACACGACACCGACGACTTTGCCCTACCCTGTTATTGCCAGCGATTTTTCATCGCGTTAGACCCAGCGAGTTGGCAGCCCAGATACTATACAGCAGCCCAGAAGGCCAAACTTTTACCTCGAGCCTTCGCTACAGCCTCGAGCCCTGGACTAAGTAGTCGTCGTTTTGTCTTACGATCTCTATTGTTCTAGCATTTGGCAAGTGGCGCCGGTGCCCAGCGCCTAGGGCCGCTCGTTCGTTCTCTGTCTCGCATCTCAAAGACGCTAGGCGCAAATTACAGTGACGACTTACTGGTGGCTTGCGGCGATAAACTCTCTGCATATCTTCTATCTGCATGTCTAGATACCCCAAATACCTTATTCTGTAATTGCTAATTAAAACAATCTAGTCCTAAATATGAGGTCTTAGGGCTTTCCTCCAAAGAGCGTGCTCTTTCATTCCGGCAATACCTATCTACTTTAGTATAGGTTGCATAGTTGCATTTCAATAATCACTTGTGACTTTTAATAGTAGGCTACTTGCACATTAGTAATTTAGTATCTATCTACTTTAATTTTTATTATGTGACTAATTTTATAGGTAATCAAAGCACGTTGAAAAGATTCTTTAAAAGAAAATTACCCGCAACAGGTGATAATGAGAATAATGATGAAGATACGTCAACATGAATAATTCACTAAATATGATTGCCTAGAGTATAGTGAAAACGTGGATATGTGTTTTTGTTTATATTGTTACTTGTTCAAAGATTATAATAAGGGGAATGATGTATTTGTAGTAGATGACTGGAATATCTGATAGGCTTAGAGACCATGTAGGCAATAAGGATAATAGTTTTTATAATTGCTACAAAAAGATGCGACAAATTATTGAAGCCTGAGTAATTAATCAGTGTATTATATTGTTGCAACTTATAAGCTACTTGTGTAAGTAGACTCTGACCCCGGTGACCATTTATTGTGGCTTCGCACCTGTGCGAGTCCAAAGCCACTCGCCAATCATCACTCCATCGGCCATGCACGCAACAATGCAACATGTGGGGTGAGTAGTAAACGCCGAGAACGTGGCAGCGATCTGAAGGAATTTCTGAACAAACCCGTCAATCGGCCGACGCAACGCTACGCTGCCGCCACTGGAGTGCCGTCAACCCGTTTGGTTCGTTCCTGGTGTCCAGCTCCTTTTTTTTTTACCCCAAATAAAGCAGTGCTCGGTATCCGGACCATGGCACTACTCCCTTCTAGAAAAAAACGCATCTCCAAGGTTCCCAGCCCAGTGGAGCGCTACTGTCTTGAAAGTTGCTGGCCCTAGGCTCTAGCCTCTAGTATTTCAGAATGTCTCATGTTTGTTTCGTTCGTATACTCAGCTGATACAAAAACTGAACAAATTATACTCCCTCGTTTCTAAATTATACTCCGTAAGTTGTTCTAGCTATGTCCATATATACTATTAAAAAAAGTTATTTTCTAAATTAGAACGACTTATAATTTAAAATAGAAGGAATAGGGATTGGGTTATTCTTAGTCTTTCTGAATACATGAGTACAGATTTAACATAATTATGCTTCGTCCAGATCAAATGGCATTAGTTTTGTTCAAAAAAAAAAGAGCAAAAAAAATTTACCATAAATAAATTTACTAAGGCCTCGTTTGGAACGGAGGAAAAGTAGAGGATTGAGTTCGAGAGGAAAGGAATCCTATATGCGCGTTTGAAACGAAGGAACTCGGACAAACCTTTCCGAAGGAACGGCATCAAAGGTTGTACTTTTGGAGGAATGGAAAAATGAGCTCAGAACCAAGGGAAATTTTCCTACGGTGCTCGCGGCCACGCTTAGCGCACAAGCCAATCTATATATTATTTATGCGTTACTTTGCCATTGTTTAGTTGGACCCCAAATTCTAAAAAATTGCTACAATACCTGTCACATCGAATGTTTGCGGCCCGTGCATGGAGCATTAAATGTAGATGAAAAAAAAACTAATTGCACAGTTTGGTGGGAAATTGCGAGACGAACGTTTTGAGCCTAATTAGTCCATGATTGAACACTATTTACCAAATAAAAACGAACGTGCTACAGTATCCCCAAAATCCAACTTTGGGGAACTAAACGCGCGCTTTGATTCCTCTATTTTTCATTCCTACTTTCCAAACACCTCTCTCGATTGTTTCCTGTCTTTTTTTTTTCTCTGTTTTGCCATTTCACTTCTACCTATTTCCTATACTTTTTTTTCTTTCCTCTATTTTTCGTTCATTTGTTCCAAACATGCCCTAAACAAGAAAACAGAACAAAGTATAAACTGGAATCGCGATTCATTCCACCAATCAGGACTGCGGAGCAAATTCCGGCTTGGCTGTTGGGCCAGCACTTGGCCGGACCGGCAACGGGCAACACTGCAATAACAGCCAGCAGCGAAGCGACCACCAGGCACGAGCACGACAGGAGGCACGCTCCGAACGTACGACGAGTACGCGCGGTACGGGGTGCCCACGAAGATTTTTTTTTTTTTTAACATTTTTTTTAAACTATTTCCAAATCTGACACCGATTTTTTTTTTTTTGAATCTAACACTTTTGGTCGCGCCTATTGCCACGACGCGGGCAAACAACGCTGCCACGCCATGCATGCCGGTGCGGCAGCGGCGATGACGTGGCACTTCCCCAGGCCATGGCCGCTGACGCGGCAGGAGCTGCCGCGTCGCACATCTTGGCGCGGCAGTGCCGCGCCATAGCTCACGGCGCGGCGACGCCCAACACAAGACCGCGGCCTGGGCTCCCTCTCCTCACTGTCGCACTCAAGTGAAACGGATCGAGGGAAAGATGCTACACCACCATGCCCGTGTCCACACCAGGCCGGAGCCGCCGAGGCCAGCCGCCAGCCCCCCCCCCCCCGTGACCACCCACCTCCCTCTCTCTCCCCCCATTCCTCCCTCTCTAGGCCGCTCCAGGAGCGGTGCTCATCGCCGGCGCAGCAGTTCCTTCCCCACCACCAGTCGGCCTCTCTCCTCATCGTCTCCTTCACCTACGCCCCCCTGTCCCTTCCTTGCCCAGCCTAATGGTGTGCCACACCCCTCTCCTTCTGTCTCCTGCTCCCAGAAGAAGCCCGCCGGCGACGGGCATTGCCGCCCGCGGCCACCTCGTCGCCATTGGTGGATTTGGCTAAGCCCTAATCTTCCCCTCATTGTTAAAGTATTCTCCTTGTATATTTGTTGATTAAATCAAATTGTTGTTACTTAGGGTTAAGATGCAAAATTAGTTAATATAGTTAGTATAGTAAGTTAGTATAGTTAGTTTAGTTACTATAGGTACTATGGTAAGTTAGTATAGTTAATAAAGTTAGTACAGTTAGTGAGTCTAGTTAGTTATTCTATTTAGTATAATTAGTTATTATAGTTAGTTTTATATAGGTGTTAATATTAGATTAGTTAGTATAGTTATAGTTAGTATAGGTATTAATATTACTATGGATAGTACGTACGACGATTTCAACGATTTGATGAAGTATCTTGAAATGCTTTTGTAGATGGATTGTTGTGTTAGAGTTTTTTACGGAGGAAGTGTTAGGAGAGAAGATGATATGTTTGAGGATGTGGAAGAAGAATTGGAATGGTTTGATGAACCTTCTAGCTTCAGAATATTTGTGGCCGTTTGAATGGAAAGTTTAGCGGTGATTATACACTGAAGAGGAGGTTTGAAAGTAGGAAGACTAGGGTACACTATGTGTTGATGCCCTTGCGCGAGCATGCTCACTAGTCCCGCTACAATATGGTAATCCAAGGTTTCAATGTGGCCTTGGCTGAGGTGGTTGTGGAGAATGGGTACATGATGCATGATCTCTAGAAGGGACCGTTCTTCAATGATCATACTCAACAAGAATGTGGGGCTCATGTGGAACCAACTATGGGTACTATAGATTTGGATGGTCAGTTGATGTAGGAGCAGTTTCATTCAAATCAAGTAGGCTGTAT